AATTGTATGCCTTCCTGTGCTATTCCAGCGTTTGCCATGGCTTGCAAACTGTAGTTTTTCCCGTTCTGTACTCGCTTTGATGGCAAAATTAACTGCAGTAAGGTGACGGTCTACGGTTAAACGCAAGATAGCGCGTCTAAGGAGCTCAAATAAGGTAACTCCTTCCTTCTTCTAAGCACTAGATGAGAATTTCTGACTTGGCTACATTGGTGACTTATGGGGATGTTATGAGGGGGAACTGTCCCTTTCTATACCCTTTGGGCCCTGGCAACTACCATCATCAAATTCAGAAGTCGGTATCACTGCAACAGCATCCTTTTCCAATCCTGCTAGAGGTTGCTTCAGTCAACCTTCCCCTTCCTAATTATGAGCTAAACCTGCCATTTCATTGTGTGTTGCTGTTAGTATTACAAGTATTTGTGTACAAGTGCAACAATGAATCGCGCTGGTCTCAGCAACCTGCTAGGGAGGTGAAGCAAACCAGCCCTTTTGGCGTTTCTGCTGGGGCCGTATGCTGAATGTTGGGGAGGGGATGGGGTCCCCACGGTCGACGGACTACTTCAACTCGGTCGGAGAGTAATGACGCAAGTGGTGCAGCTGGTCCAGCAGCTCCGCCAAAAGGGCTGGTTTGCTTACCCCAGGACTAAGCCTTGGAGAGAGGACGGACCTGCGCTCTCTCGCAGGTTCGTCCTCTCTCCAAGGCTTAGTCCTGGGTAAGGCTCTCTTTAAGGCTTAGTCCTGAGGTAAGCATCAAATTGAGGCGGTTTTAAGGACCGAGTTGAAGTAGTCCGTCGACCGTCGGGGACCCCATCCCCTCCCCAACATTCAGCATACGGTCCCAGCAGAAACGCCAAAAGGGCTGGTTTGCTTACGTCCCTGCTAGGTAAGTGTCAATCATTTTTATTGGAATACTTGAAATATTATATATTTATTTTTTTATCAAAAACGTGAGGCATAATGCTATGCAAGATCATAAACTTTTTCGAAACAGCTAAAAAAATTCGGAATTTCTCCTTCATAAAAATCTAAGAAGCTGTGTTGATTTTCACAGCTTCCTTACTTTCCTAGTTTGTGGTCGAAGGTACCGATGCTGTAAGAAATTACTCACCTTCTTTCTTCTTACAGGCTCAACCGGAATAATGTTTGTTTTCTTTGAGCGAGAGATAGTTGATAAAGCTTCGGTTCCCACATAGCTGGGTCTTGGAGTCCACCACAAATCTGACGGAGTTGATGTTGTCAGTGAAGGAAGTGGCGGAGTTGCTCGCTGTCGGTGCAATAATTCCGTTTCGTCAGGTGGCACTGCCGGTTGCCCTGTGGTCGTGGTGCTTGGTGACTCATCAAGATCTTTGTCTGCGTTCCCGAATGAATCGAGGTCGTTCTCATCCACTTCTCCTGAAGACTTAGAGGCCGTGGCTGTTGTTTCATCCCCTCCTAGCGGAACTGATAAGGAACTGGAGGGCTCCGGAATGGCTGCATCAGGTGAGGAAGAAGCATCCGTGGTGGTAGACGCAAGAGATGGCAAGTCTTCCTCTGCGAGGTTCGTCAGGGTACTTGTAGGGGGTATTGGCAGCAGCAAAATTGGTGAGAGGGACTTCCGAGCCGCAGTAGACGCCGAAGTCTTGTTCTTTTTGGCACGAGTAGTAACGAACATAGAAGTCTTCGTCGCTGAAATATTCGTCGTTGGTAAACTGATAAGTTGAGGAGAAGAACGCTGGGCAATCGAAGCAAATGAAGCTGGAGACAGTGGTAAAGCGGTATCTGTGAGATTCGATCCAGATGCATGATGATTACGTCTGGATGTGATGGCTCCCTCTACTTTCGAAAAGGAAGGTCAGGTACTTAGGGGTGCCTTGGCTGGCCTCAAGGAAGCAATAGTACCAGGCGTGGTTGTCGGAAGAAACTTCAACTTTCTTTTGAAGAACCCTTCCAGTTTCTGTTCCTCTACTACATTCTTGGGTAGCGCAACTGTTATCGACGTCGTTATCAAGGGGTAGTGCGTGTTGTGGATCTCCACTTGGGCGTTTTCAACGTTGTCGGAGTTGGATGAGGCGTCGTAGATGTTTTCGCTATCGTTGAAGGGACAGTCGCTCTCCGAGTTGATGAAAGCTTTGGCCCTCTTGTGATCTTCACGAAGTATGTAGTTATCAGTTCTGGCTGACTGTTTTTAGAGGTGGGCGTATCTTGCAGATTAAAGGTGTGTTTGCTTTGGAAACGATCGGGCCGCATGGACGGCGTCTCGGTAGGCCGGCTTGCGTCGTGGGTGGCGCCCCACTCGAGCCTTCCTTATGATTGTCGTTTCCTGGTCATCGAAAACAAGAGATGTCTGCAAATAATGCGGAACGGATCATTGAAACTCCGCGAACTTGTGTTCGCACCAGTGAGTGGGCGGCATTGCGTGCCGGCAGCGGCAGCTACGAGGTAGCGACTCGCTGTTCACCGTAGGGCACCGAGTTGGTAGATTTTGTTAGAGGAGACTGGGTGCCTGTTCGGTGTGTGGGAGCTTCGTTGGAATCGTTTATTCTACCGTAGGGACATGGCGGGATTTTGTAGGACAGGAAGGAGCGTTGGTCTGGCGTAAGGCTTTCCCGGCCGCTCTAAATAGCTTTCACCGTAGGACGATGATGGGATTTTGTAAATTTTGTAGACGGTATGGTGCCTGTCGTGGTGGGAGCTTCCGTGGTAACCGTTTTCACCGTAGAGCGATGATGGGATTTCGTAGAGGGGATGGAGCGGGTAGAGGAGGAGGCTTTTGGAGAAGTAGTTGTCACCGTAGAGTGATGGTGTGATTTTGTCACCGTCGCTGTTTCATTTACTTTTTGAATTTCTGTCGTTGACGTTGCTTCAGTTGTTGTCTTGTCAAAAAGACCCGCGATTCGTCCAATTCTTGACTATTCAAGTCCGAAAGATCAAGATCGGCGTCAGTTTTGGAAGGTTCGTTGCTGAAAAAGTTGCAGTTAATAAAAATGTGCAGACGTTTTTTGTTAAGAATTTGCGCCTTGTCAAGAGATCACACAATCTTTTTTTCTAACCAAAAGTCCCTTTCGTAAGATCGGACCCCTTATCTTGGGGTAAAAAAACACCCACTGCTGATTGTAGATTGATGAAACGTGGTAATAATAAACCATTACCATGAAGAGAAGGAAGCTCCCTTCCCTTCATTTCCAACAGTGAATAACACACTGGCTAGCTTTAATGGTCCCTCAAGGACTCAATAGCACTCTCCAGACGATTATAGCCTTACAACCACCTTATAACCCGATTATAACCTTATATTATAACCTTTAACACGACCAACACTGGAAGATTCCGCCAGGCCAACATGGTACGACTACTGAGCCCATTGAGGTCCCCAATTTCTTCATCTCGCTACGCAGCCCTCCAGTGCTATACATGTGGTTGAAATTAGGCTTTATAGTTGAAGATACTGCCTTTTCAAGCAGTCTTAGCTTCTCAAGGTGGCTGAGCGTGTTTCGGAAACTTAAATGAAACAGCGCTTACAAACGGGCTATCAGTTACACTGACGCTCGAGGATTCTCTAACGCTAGGTCAAAATAACTGGCAAGATTTCGTCATCGGTTTGTCAGATGTTACAATTGATGGTAGCTCCCACGAAATCGCTCTCACTAGCCCACAACGGTAGCCCTTGGCAGCTGGTCGGCCTTCAATACAGTGCGCGATGCAGTGGCGATGTTCTGTGAATCACATGCTCGCAGAGTTCTTTACCAGCCAGAACCACGGTATAGGAAGGCTCGATCTAATAAATCAGGTAGCTGCTCCAACTTGAGACAATCACGTCAGGGTCCCTAGGCCCCGTCGGTGTTGACGAACCGAAGAATGGTTTCGTCTCTTGAAAGGGTGACCACAATCGAAAAGTGCTTGCTTCCTCTTATAAAGTAACGTCTGGTGTGAAACATCTCGTTACATCGCTTTCCACTGAGATTCAAACTTTGCCGATGCGCGTTATGAGTGAAGTAGCTCTTCTTTGCCTCCTCCTTGTGTTCATCAGAGCTGGGATATCTAAGAGTGGTGATGGCCCTGACAAGCAGTGCATGTAAGAAGTTCATAGGAAGAGCCACACTGCCGTTCTGCCGATTACTCACTCATCCATTTCGGTAGTTTTATTTTGCAGCACAATTGAACTTCTCCTTGTGATCTTCTTCATACACCTGTCAGGCATGATTCTTAGCACGCCACTGTTTATTGTTGGAGCGTGCGCATTTGCGGTGACTCGTTTATTGTGGTACGACAAACCCCGAAAGTTC